TGGATTCAACTGGACTTGAGTCGAGTGGAGTAGAATGGAGTAGAGTTGATTAGACTGGAAATTGGGCAATTACACAGAAACGGTTTGACATGGCAACCAGGATGTTGCAAGAGAGAGAGGGTGTTGAGCCGCCGTCCAAAAGGAGGCGACTCCACTTGTCTGCTCGGTAATGGTTCTAACTTCACTCACAATTGTCCAACATGTTCGAGTAAGCTCACCAACCAAACCAGACATGTCAGATTACGCAACCACAGTTTTACCTTTCTTTGGAGGGTTAGACGTTGATGACCCTAGACTGAAAGGTTAGGACAAATGGTTTCGTAACTTGATTTTCATGCTTACAAGCTCATATCTCAGCATCTCAACCGTACTTGTTTACGGACCTACGCATTCTCAGTGAAGGCTTTCTCTTTGGTCATATAGACTTGAGTCGAGTAGATTAGAATGGAGTAGAGCTGATTAGACTGGAAATTGGGCAATGACACAGAAACGGTTTGGCATGGCAACTAGGATGTTGCAAGAGAGTCACTTTTCTACGTGTACTGCTGAGATGAGTTGTGCTTGTAGACAGTAGTTTGACTCGGCGGAGCAAGTCTGAAATGGGTAGAGCGGGGCGAATTGGTGGCGAGCCAGAAGGCAAAAGGGTGCAACAGTGAACATGAGAGAGCGTCGAAACGGCACCGACGTTCGTCCCCTGTAGGCCTATCCAGTTGTCTTCAGGGCAGACAGGGGCAAGAGGGCGGTCAGCCTGTAACCATCGCATGATCCGACTCCGATTTGAAGAGCTATACCTCCGAACCGGTCCGGAGGCCCAATGAAATGATAAAAGTTTAATGAGTACTGGTGTTAAAGTTGTTGCTAGATGTGAGAAGATGTGGAAATTTTATTTGATGTTTGTGTGTTCGTGGTGAAACATATGAGTTGGAGGATATAAGAGAAGATGGAGCTAGAGGGGTGGGGAAGGGGGGGGCGAAGACGGACTGAGCTGTCGGTTGTCATGTCACGAGCATCGTCATAGCTGGGAGTCATTCTTTTAAATGCTCCAAGTTAGTGCTAAGTCAATTAGGATTAAGACATAACTGACCTTTGGTTTGAGAAGACGAACGGAAGGGATTCGTAGATTGGCCGCACCGGATATTGATGGAGTAGTTGACTTGGGCAATTGTCTGTTGGAGTGCGCATAGAAGTAAGTAGGATCTCAGCTGGCCACCTTTCCTATTTTACTATTTAATGGTGCTTTTCGTGTATACTGGTTTCTGGCACTGACGATGTCCGTCGCATGACTAAAGAAAGATCAGCACAGATTCATCCGGTTCATAGGAAGGTGAGCCGAAGTCTTCTTTGTACAATTCAACAGACAAAAGTCCAAAGCAACCCTCCTTCGTTATCCCATGAGGCCAATATACGAATCCCTTCCACTCGCCTTCTCAAACAAAGTGAAAGATACATATAGATATAGAAGGGTTTGGTTAATTCACTTATACTCGAGCGTGTCTGTGTGCGTATGTATGTTAAAATTGGTCATGACTCAGAATAATTAGAAAGAAGATTAACGTCAGCGCTGGCTCATCAAGGCTTAGTGACCCAAGAAAAAAAGGAAAAAATGATGACCGGGATTGCGTTAGTCCGTAAGTAACCCTGGTTAAATTACTGAAATGTATGTCTGTACACGTGAAAGTCAGGTTTTGAAACCACCAGTCCAAACCCGTTAGCCTGCGTTATTAAGGTTTAATGACCCATAGAGAAGCTTGGCTAAGATTGCGTCTGTTTTGGCTGATGAACCTGGCATGGGTGTTGCACGAGAGATAATTTGGTTAGAACAATTAGTCAGCTGAAAAATTGAGTCGTCTTTTTTTTGACCGCGGCTCAACAGTCTTTCTCTCTTTCAATCTTTCTATCAGGCATAAGTAATTCTGCGAATAAAAGTTGGGTTTCGCGGAATCTGTTGTTTCATAATTGTTGGGCTTACTTCCATTTCGAGTGAAAGTGTTAGATGAAGAGATTCGAAGGTCGGTTCCACCAGAAGACAAAGGCGGATTCCTCTTGATCAGCTGTCGATTGGCTTTAGTGGAAGTTTCATACTGACGCTGTTTCCTATGTAATCTCCTTCGATTCCGGTGAAAATGTGCTAAGCTTTCGTCCGTCATATGACGAACATCATCAGAGTAAGGTATCATCGCCACAACAAAATTCAAGCTAAAGAGTCAATAAAACTTTGGTTGATGATACTTTGCTCTGATGATGTTCGTCATATGACGGACGAAAGCTTAGCACCTTTTCACCGGAATCGAAGGCGATTGCCTTGGAAACATAATCAGGATGAATGTTGCAGTAAAGCCAATCAACAGCTGGTTAAGAGGAATCCGCCGTCGTCTTCTGGTGCAACCGACCTTCGAATCTCTTTACCCAACACTTTCCCTCGAAATGGAAGTAAGCTCAACGATAAGTAATTCATACTCAACTTTCTACCAATATCCCCTACAGAGATGCTAGGGCACCCTCTGCTTATTACTTTCCAAAGGTGCACAAAAAATACTTTCCCCTTAGGTTAAGTGTTAACAACAAGGGTAATGTTATGCGTGAAATCTGACGTTTTTTATACAGATAATTATGAAAAGTGACAGAATTTTTAATATTTTCGGGGAATACTTTTATGGGTTTGTTTAACTAGTGGACCGGCAAAATATACCAGAAGAAGATATATTAGTAAGTTTGGACGTGGTATCAATGTATCAAAATATTTCAGTCCAAGGAACCATTCAGGCTCTAGTTATTATCCTGGAGTAGTATTCAGATATTACGGAGGGAAGTAAGTTGAATATAGCCTCCATTCTAAGGCTCCCTGACCTATCACTGAGTAATACATATTTAACCTTTGACGGTAAATTTTATTAACGAACACAGGTACAGGCACAGACACTTACAATTAGTTCTTGCTTAGCTCCAAGTTTAGCTAATAACAACATGGCTAAGTTTGAGGAGCGCTTAATGCAAGAGGTAATTCTGATTTTTAAATCGTTTGCCAGATCTATGAATAATTATTTTTTGATCTGGCAGCGTGATAAAGATAAATTAGATACAAGTGGGTTGACCTCGTTGCCGCAATTTGGTTTTGTTGTCAGGGCGATTATGTAGAACGCACCTAGTCCGAAGTCATCCGCCATAATAGTTGTCATGATTCTCAGCATCTGAAAGTGGACTTGGTACATTCTCAACGTTTCGCCGGCATCATCAGTGAGTTTTGCCAGTCTTCGCACCAAGCTACGAACTCGTCAAAGAGACAAGTGAAGTCAATCCCTCGACAACCGTTCTGTCAAAAACGGTTACATTATCACTGCTCTTTCTGTCAGTGCCTATCTATCTACTCTTTACACTCCTATCCCACTGCCGCCCTATCACAACTTCTCACTTGTTTACATTCCACTCGTC